GCTAGAGGATGTTCCTGTAAATATTAGAATGCAGATGTACTATCAGCACGATAGAGCTCCTGCACATGTCGCTTGTCAGGTCAAGCAACATTTGGACGAACGTTTTCCAGGGCGTTGGATTGGTCGTGGAGGTCCTATTAATTGGCCTGCAAGATCTCCAGACCTCCAGACCTCACACCATTAGATTTTTGTTTATGGGGCTGGATGAAAAATGAAGTCTACAAAATAAAAGTGGACACACGGGATGCACTAATTAGACGAATTGAGAATACTGCAGCCCATATTAAAGAAGAAAGAAATGAATCAATTAGGAGAGCAACAAACGCTTTTCGTAGACGAAGCAGAAAATGTTTAGAAGTCAATGGCGGTATTTTTGAACATTTATTGAAGGAACGCTATGATTAAGAGAATTTTTATGTGTAAATTTGTTTATTTGTAAATATGCTATAACTTGAAAACAAATGAAAATCGGATAAGAACACATCAGTTTTTTTACATTATTTTCACGTGTATAATATACTCCTAGAGTTTGGTGCGCTCCTCTCGACTCACCCTGTATATAATAGTCGGAATTCCAATTCAGAAGTCTAAAATCATAATTATGAGTCTTGATATTGAAGAATATTGAATAATATTAAACTTGATATAGAACACAATTTGTCAGCAGAAAAGAAAACAATAACTAGTTACTTGAAAAAATGAATAAAATAGAGTGATTTGAAAACAAGAGAATCCTTTCTTGGACTTGGTACAGTTTCTGATCTTGCAAATCAAAAGATCAAAATAGATTTTATTGAATCTAAGAGTACCTGTGACACATACGTGCTTCAAACTTGTACAAATTTACTGTGCATATTTTTAAAAAAATCCCAAAAATATGTCACTTTTAGATTATAAAATGACATCCTGTGCTTCCAAATTTCACCGCTGCCTTCGAGTGACAGTTGCAGACCCTAACTTTGTAAAAAGAAAGTAGGGGCTTTTTTTTATCTTTATCTTTATCGGTTGTAAGCAGGTAGGGTTAGGTTTGGCCCAGAACACTGCGGCCTCTTGGGTCTATTGTATTCCCCTGCTTTCCCCGTATTCAGGTACTATCTTTGGAATAGTCCTGTGTCTTTGGTTAGTTTTAATAGGTTTCCTACCAAGTGTTTCTGAGGTGTTCTTTCCGGTTCTAGGCCGAAAAGGATGAAACGTCGCCTAGTAAGAGCTTCGCATTCCAAGATCACATGGTATGAGGTTTCTTCCTCTTCCATGCAAAGTCTACACGTAGTGGGATCATTGTGTAATCCCATTACATGAAGGTGTTTCAGCAAGCAGTGCCCCGTTAGTATAAGGAAGTAGGGGCGTGTGATCTTATAGTGTAAAAAGCAAAAATAGCAATCGTAATGTAAAAATGTTCAAAATGCATGCTTCGAACGGCCTGGCTGTACCCTAATCGTAACTAAAATTGTCTTTTAACATCTGAAGCGTGACCGACGTAATCGCAAACGTTATTCTTATTCTTAAATCAGCTAAATCATGTGGTTTAGTTTTGTATATCATATTTTTAAATCTCTCCATAAGAAAATACCCAATGGCGTAAGATCAGGTGATCGTGCTGGCCATTCTATCGATCCTCGCCTCCCATCAACCAATTTGTAAATATTTGATCAAGGTACTGCTGGACATTGTTTTGGTAATATGGTTGTGATCCATCCTGCTGGAACCATATCACATTCGCTGGAACTTGTGAATTTCCTTGGCCAGGATATCAATTTGCCAAAGTTGGCACGTCATTCTGGAGTAGTGTTAAATAATTATCTCCATTCAAATTGCATTCGATAAAAAGGGGACCAAGGACATGGTTTTCAACTATCCCTGCCCAAGCATTAACCTTTTCAGGGTATTGTGCGTTCTTCTCTTATTCATTAAGGATTTTCATAAGACCAATAGGGACAATTTTGACGGTTAATATGACTGTGGAGTGTAAAAGTGCAAAAGTGCAAAAATGTATTATTCTATCAAAATCGTCTTCCATGAGTTGGTATTGTAACGATTGTTTATTTTAAAATAGTGTATTTATTTGAAGCAGTTAATTTATAATTTATTTACATTATGTACTAATTAATTAATTTAATACTTAAGCACTATAATTATTCACACTTCTAATTTATTTTACAATTTATATTGAAACTTAAACGTCTATCGATAAAGTCGCGCTATTTATATAAAAATATAACAGCCTAGAAAAATTCTATCCTGGCTAGAAGTTCCATGCTAGTCGGAAATACGTCCTCCACGCGTAGAATTGCGTACGGGAAACATTCAAGTTATTTTCTCGAGTCTTCATGCGGTTACAATCACGCAGAAAGTTGCTAAGGCATTTCAAATGAAATTAAGATTGCTAACTATGGAGAATCTTGATAACTTTTTATATGTCTCTTTGTTAATATCGACGAAAAAGGTCATTGAAAGTGTTTCTGCTTGCTTTCTTATTATCAAGACCGAAACATTATTAGTTATTAATTGTTTAAGGTGTTTTAGTGAATTCATTTTGTTTTATACTGTTAATTTTTACAATAAATTTGAAAATCACAGTATTTTTAATATAGAATAAAGAGGTCTTTAAACTCGTCACTCGAAGGGGGATAAAGATAGGGGTGAAATTTACACGTTGCAAGATGTTATTTTATAATTTAAAATTAACGTGTGTTGGAACTTTTTAATATGCAAGTACTTGAGTTACTGAATGTATTCCTTCTGGCTGTTACACACTGTATATTGGATGTCAGTATAAAATGGAACTCAGTTCCAAATATCATGCAAGTTTTCATAACTTAGGGCAATTTGTAAAATTTTGGAGCAAGTATGGGCCACAGGTAGATACTCTCTTGCAAACACCTTAGATTAATTAAAATATATTTTTATTTGCATTATCACAATCTGTACAAAACCTAAGGAAGGATTCTTTTGTTTTCATATCACATTTTTTTATACATTTTTTTAACTTTAACTTTAATTTTAACTAGTTATTTTTTTTCTTTTCCGCCCACAATTGTGCTCTATCACAAGTTAAATCGAGGTCTTTATTCAGAATTCCGAGTTGTATGTCGGAATTCCAAGTTGTATGTCGGAATTCCGAGTTGTATGTCGGAATTCCAAGTTGTATGTCGGAATTCCGAGTTGTATGTCGGAATTTCAAGTTGTATGTCGGAATTTCGAGTTACAAGTCGATATTCCGAAATACAAGTCGGAATTCCTATTTACAACATGAATTCTGAGATGCAAGTGGGAATTAGTAAAAAAAAATTGTGGCGGTTCTAAGCTTTCGTAGTTTTTCACATGGATCCAATTATTAAATTTTTACCATATTTATATGGAATCACCCATGAGGTACCCCATTCTAACAGAAAAATAATTATAAAAATCGGACAACGTGTTAAAGAATTATCGCTGAACATGTCCCGACGAATTGAGAACCTCCTCCTTTTTTTGAATTCGGTTAAAAATAAAATCACCCATGAGGTACCCCATTCTAACAGAAAAATAATTATAAAAATCGAACAACGTGTTAAAGAATTATCGCTGAACATGTCCCGACGAATTGAGAACCTCCTCCTTTTTTTGAATTCGGTTAAAAATAAAATCACTGTTTTTTCAAAAATGTATGATCATTTCATTTTTCCATAAGATTAACATATTTGCTGCAAGAACGTCATAAGTCAAAAAATTGTAATTTTTTGAGTTATTGGCACATCAAAGTTTTTTCATTTTAACATTAAAGATCGTAACGAAAAGTACTATTATCTGATAAAGTGTCACATTTGAACAGTCTATAATTGCCGTTAGATGCCTCTTAAATGGGTACAAGGGTTTTCTTCTCACTTCATTGCTATAATTTCAATATCGTCATATTTCAGTTACTGTATAAAAAACTGTTGTGATGGAAGAGTATCTCAGATATTTAAAACAACGTTTTATTTCGCATTTTGACTATACTTTTGTTGTAATACGTTACTGGAATAGGTCAAATTATTATATTTTATTATTTACTTCGTTCGTTTGCGAGACTACCGACTTAACTCAAAAAATATCAATTGATTGATTTACCATACTTAAACTTGAAAAGTCGTCAAGCGAATACAACTAAAACTACGGAAGTGTCGTTGTTTCTGTATAAAGAATGTACCCGTTCAATTGCAATAATTACAGAACTGATGATTTTTGAATAATGCTGGTATATTCGCAAATGAGCGTCATGTGAAACAACATTCTTTTGTTATGACGTTGTTGCAGCAAATAAGTGATATGTACCCGGTTTTCCCTATTGGTTGAGTAGAGAGTCCAACTTTTCTTGAATATTACCCAAGTTAAGTGGTTTATTTTCTGAGCTGCAGTCAATAGAGGTTTTTCCTTTGCTAAATAAAGTTTCTTACATAATTCATTCAAATGAATATTTACCCTGTAAAATCCAAGTCCATTTTTTAATATATTACTCTAGAGATATTTAAATTGATTGATTCCATCAAGTAGTAATTTCTCTTTAACTGCTTCTTAGGTGCTGTTTCCAAATGTTTACCATACCTCTTCCACATCGTTCTGTCACAATTTTTTATCTACAAGTGCCCGTAATTTTAGTAGATTCCGTCAGGCCAAGTCTTACCACCATTTTCAGATCACTATTTTCACATCAGTCACTATTTTCTTTGAAGATTATCCTTCACTATATCTTGCGATAATAATTTCGCCTAATGTGACATAGGGACACCTTCTACCATTTTAGAAAAGAATATTTGCTTTAGTTTTGAAAATATTTTATTTACTGACAGATAAATAATATAACATATATTTTGTTTTCCATGCCTACTTAATAATATTCGATACCTTCCCAAAATTTAGCTGTCAATAAAAAACGTGTATTGAAACAAAAAATAATATTTTGATAATCGGTAGCTGTTATTATGTTGAAAAACAATAACTTTTTAAATTTAATTTTTATTCGTTTTTTTTTTATTTTTCAGATGGGAAATCTGCAGTATTTCTGTCTTGTCGTTATCCTACAATGCTGTGCATTAACTCTAGGTGAGCCTTCTTATTATAGAACATACAGAGTCCTTTCAGGAAATCCGTCAACTTATTACGGGAATCCCTACTACGACCATCCTTATCGGTATGCGAGCAATAGCGATGTCTATATTACCGACAGATATGGAAGAACTTCTCTCCAATCAGGAGCCAATTATAGAGGTTTTAAATCATCACTAATAGAAAAAAATTGAGAATAATAGCTAAATGAGAATACTTGAAATGTACAAATCGATAAAAAATGTTTCTGTACTTCAGTCCTGAAATTTTCAAATCGACGTCATCTGTCAATGTCAATAAATGTGTAGAGTAGAGTAGAGTTACCTATTAGGTATTCCCACATACTTTGATTTTCTTTACTATACGGCGCAAGAGAGAGGTCCGACACGCCCAACATAGGGCCCGGCCATTTTGAACCCTATGCAACAGTTTATAGCTAAAGAATCAGATCGCTCACTCTGCGTCGGCACTTTTGTGTATAAACTGGAACATTTCCAGTTTATACACTGCGCAACTCGGATAATACAATATATAACAACCGCCTATAATAAAACAGCTGTCTTCTGCGTATCCTAAATTTGTATCCCTGGAGTGGATCTTATTTTGAAACTTTCAACTGGTCCGAGTGAGCTAACTGATTCTTTAGCAATAATCTGTGACTCAAAAAATATTCACTGACACTGACAACCGCAAGCAAAATATCAGGTGCGTTTTAATCAACCGCTTCTGCTTCCGGAATTGTCGGTTTAGTCGTTTTAACTTGTCAAATTAAAACAAGAAAACCGACAATTCCGAAGCAGAAGAGGATGATTAAAACGCACCTATTAAAAATATTGCGCCAAGATGTAGGCCACACGTAATAAGGGTTCAAAATGGCGGAGTTTTCTATCTCCTTTTAAAAGGCACTCAGAAAGCTGCGCAGTGCGACCATTCTCCGTATAGTAAAAGAAAATCAAAGTATGTGGGTATTCCAAACTGAATGGCTACCAGTGGATTCTGACGGGTTATGATATGGCAAAATTATGGCAACCCTGTAGGCCTGGTGATTTGACAAGGTCAATGAAATAGATAGTTACATAGATTGATCATCCATATTTTTCAAAATAAACATAAGCCTATACCTTGAAGTAAAAATATAAGCAATTATTTTTTTTTTAATATCTAAAGGCTAAAAATTGGTTTTAAAACACATTTTTGCTAAACCGATTCAAATTAATAAATTTTTGCCAGGCAATATGGCCGCTCGTAAACGACCAGCTTTGAGCATCTATATAACTATATATGTATCATTGACCTTGTTAATGACAACATGACAACAGGGTTGCCATATCTAAACTGTCATTACCCACTGGTAGCCATTTGGACAGGTCGTTGGAATGCCTAATTCTCTAACTCCCATACTCCCATGCTCCCATACTCCCATGCCAACGTTGCCAAGTCGACAGAATAACTTTGATCTACTATTTAAGTAGTTCAAATTTGCTTTGTGATAAATACGGACCTAAGGTCTGTATTTATAAACAAAACTCAGCTGAGTCGGACTTGAATAAGTCGTCCTTGAAGGAAAATCGAAGTTCGGTTATATCGCGTGAATTTAAAGATGGGTAGTAACAAATCCGTAAATGTACATAACAGTTACAGATTGGCTAATATTCATCTCTAAATTCCAGTCTAACACCAGAACCATCTAGAACTTTAGAGACGTTGTAACCGAACTTCGATTTTAGTTCAAGGACTACTTACCCAAGTGCAAGCCCGCAATTCTCCCTCCCATGGTATAAAATCTGACCTTACTACGCATGTACCTGGGCTAAAAGTGAGTAAGCACGATATACCCACTTAAGAGTAAGAGAGCAAAATATATGGGAGCACTCCCATGGGAGCGCTCCCATGACTTAGTGAATAGCTATCCTGGTCGAACAGGAAGAGGGAAACGAGGGAAACAATCTTTCAGTGGCGCGTAACAATTTTTTTTTAGAATTTGAAGAATTAATATCTTATTTTTAAAACTTGTTTTAACCATTTTTGCACCATTCGACAATTTCATTTCTTTCGATAGGGGTATTGCTTCGTTTTTGTCAACTATACTTAAATTTAATTTTAACCATATTCCGAATAACCACCAAATTGCCACTTTCGGAAGTGGAGACATCTAGGAACTCTTTTAAGTGGCGCACATAGGGGTATTTACGCGGCCAAAATTATTTTTTGGTCTATATCGATTCTAAACGATATTAATAAATAAAACAAGGGTTTTAATGTTAATTAACTTATATTTATTATTAAAAAATATAGATATACAATTTTATCGTATAAATTTTCATCTTTGGTCTCTGAAGAATTGCCAGCTTCAAGCGGCTTTGCAGACATTAGTAAATTAATTGTTTCTGGAAAAAAAGACTTCAGTTGTCTTCTTTTAACGTTCCTCATGCTACTTAAGAGGGGGTCTGAACTTAAAAGCAGGCGATTAAAAATATCCGTTACAATTTTCTCCAGAGAATTTTCGCGCGAAGTCTTGGCGGTATGAGCAGAAATGCTTGTTACGTGCTTCCGCGGCTTTTTCAGACAGCTGCCTAACAGGCACCAATGCAGTTTTTATTATAACTGCACCATGAATAAGTATTTTGTGCATCGTTGGTGTCATTGGGTACCAAGGGTACAGCTGCACATATAATCGAGCAGCATCTAATGTGTATTTGTCATATTTTTTCGGATCAATTATATGTCCGCTTGAAATCGTTGCTAGTATGACCTTCATTTTATAAATTAGGTCATAACTAATGCCCGTTATTTTGGAAGCCACTTTCGGGTCTTCAAAAAATCTAATTTTTTGATTACTTACTACTCAAAATATGCTATATTACTTGTAACTTTCAATGCACTAAGACAATCTTAAAAATGATAAAAATTATAAAAAAAAAATATTACAGATAGTGTGTCATTATCTTCTATACTAGGCCCCATAACTTTTAAATTAAGGTTTTCATTCGAACGCTTTCACATACACATACAAAACAGTCAAATTCAAACTGCCAGTGAAGAAATGGGGTGCACTGAAGAAAACCGGAGGGGGATGGATAATGTGCTCTAACTAGTCCCCTAATCCGTTTTTATTTAAAAATTTAACATTTTGTAAAATGGACTTTTGACCTCGTAGACAATTCAACTACCCCTATGTGCGGCGCTATTAGCCTGCAGGACTGACGAGCTAAGACGCTAGTTGTATATGCTCTTGGAGGATGCACAATTGGCCTAGTGGGGCATAAGTGATGTGAGGCACCCAACAAGATTAAACAATTAACGATTTTTGGCAAATTCTTATCGTTGTGTAAATTAAATCCAAACTATCATTTAAAAAGAAGAAACATTATAATATCAGATAATATTCTCAGTGATTTTTTCCGCAATGACTAGTTTAGAAACATTTTTTTATGATTATATTTAAGTGGAAGAATTCCACAAAATTCCTACGATATATCCACGTATTCTCAAAGCTTTATTTAACATTAATTTTTCTATTCTGTAACTAAAAATAATTTCATGCAATACTTTCTAAGTTTCCACTAAAACGACCATTTCAAATTTTTTGGAAAAGTAATACATTTTTAACTAAATTATCTCGTTTAACTAATCAATTGTAAAATTGAATTTTCATCGCCTTGTATATTATTTTTTCAATGATCTGCAATTTTATTTCCTACCTGCTTTGATTACATAACAATTCTCTAGTGCACAATAAATATATATTTTCTTATAAACAAATAATATTAAAATAAATTACGATGTACTTATTGTTAACTTATAATAAAAAAAAATCAAACGTGGGTTTAAGTGTTTCAAAATTGACGTGTGGGAGATTACTCTATTTTGAAAAAGTAACCTTGTATACCAGACATACGCATATCACACCACACACATCACCAACTTCTTCTTTATTAAAAAATTAATAACAAAATACGTTGCACACAACATATTACATAAAAAACTCTATTTAATCTTTTTCTTTTCACTTTCTAATTATTATACGTTTCAAAAACTGTAGATTTGGTCGAAAAAATGTTTAACACATTGTCTGCCATGTATAAATTAAGAATTCTACTATGGATCAGCTGTGTTTCATAGTTTCTCTCGGTATGAAGTGATACCGAACTATAAAAATCAAATTAAAAAGTTGTTCTGTCATTTTTATATGATTGTTTTACTATATTGTTATAAAATTGATATTAAATTAATAAAAAACCTGTAACCAAATCTACAGCTACATATATCAAATATTTTGTTTTAAAATTTTTTTTATCTATCTCCTTTAGTCAGTTCTATTACCTCAACAACATGTACTGCCAGTACGTGTGGACAAAACGCTCAATGTCAAGTAGTATCTGGACGGCCTGTATGTTCGTGTCTTCGAGGCCATTCTGGTGATCCACTGTCTTACTGCAAAAGGTAACTAGAGTAATAGTATTTATAAATACAGTACTTATTATTTTGTATTGGGCATAGCCGTGCTTTCACAGCGAACATGTGGCAACTACGCTATCGCGATACTCTTTGGCTTTGTGCCTCACATTCGGTTCGGCCAATATCCCACCACCATATCTTCTAATTCAAGTCGACGACTGGCCCTGTTGACATTTTATTAATTTGTATACTAGTCGAAAAAATAAGCACTGTATATTAAGTAGTGAATTAGTAGATATTGTAAATACAATTAGTTATTAGACTCACTTAATCCGTATTTGTCCTAGAGATTGAACTATTTTACTTGAAAGTATTGTTCTAATATATGTTTCTTAACATTACGAATCATATCCTCAGATAAAAAAGACCAGAGATATCATATACAATGGTGTTTAAGGCCGCAGTTTTGCTGTATTTTTACTATAAGAAGCAAGGGTTCATCATTTCCGTTAGCATTTAAATTCCGCTAAATTTATTATATCTTCTACCAGCTTAAAGTATAAGGTTGAAGAATGAAATCTACTTGTTATTTGTCATGTTTATATACAGAAATTAAAAGTAGCCCACCAAAATATTTCTTTTTATTGAATACTTTTTAAATCTAAGCGGAATTACGATTAAGAAATATTTTGGAGGCTTCGCGAAAATATTAGCCATAATAAAAAAAAATGCTAGAGTGCTATGAGGAACCCAGTATATATACCAATCAGTATTGGCACTCTGAGGCGGCACGTTTGATCTTTAAAAGTAGAAATTTTAGTTGACACTTGACGTTTTCGGGATATGAAAAGTTTTCTTTATACGGACTTGGTATACATGGTTAGTTGAATTTTTGTTCTGCTGCTTTTCAAATTCGTGTGTATGAGGGAGATGTGAGATACCTTAATAGACAACGGTTGAACAACTTAATTACTTTGAAGAAGAAAATAGATTAGATATCAGGGCAGTCTTCGCAAATGTAAGGACAGAACCGTTTTAAATTTTTTTATATACCTATGTGAAATACTTTTTGGTGAGAAGTTTAATTACTTTTAGTTCAAAATATAGCGTTAGTTTGTCAAGGGAAATATATAACACACAAGGTTAGAGTAACAAAATAGAGGTATTGCTTTATTTCTTAAGAATTACTCTAATCTAAAACTTTTCTAGTATATTGTAAAAATTTATTCTATACGTTATTTAGGTACTGCAAAATCTATAGGAAAGTATGTAGTTTTAAATTTAAAAATTTGTAACGGAGACATATTTAGTGTAGTTTTTTACAAATATATACTCAGTGACTTGTTTTTGTGAATGAGTTCAAGTATGGTAGACTAAAATCGTTATTTTTTATTATGAATTAATTTGAATTTATTTTAAAATGGGAACTATATGTATATAGTTTTCGTAGTTTTTACACTTGTGATAAAAATATCAAAGTTATGTATATTGGCCATTAACTACACACAGCAAATTCATAGATACAATACATATTACTATTTGACATTCTTGTAAAACCACTAATTTAAAATTGACTTTAAACTAAGTGACTACACACAGAATTGTTTGAAAGCAGCCATAAGGTATAATTTATGTATTGGATACTATAAAAAAATTAATAGTAGTTACATTTAGAGCTAAGTAACAAGAAATTTAAGACCAAAAACAAAACAAACCTTTATATCTAGTGGACTTAATTTAGTACAGTCCTCAACTTTCTTAGGCTAACATTAAAGATATCTATATGGATCTCGCTAAGAAACTCATTGGTAACAGCCATCATCTTGTTAAAAAGAGATATACTACTTGGATCTAAATCAAATAATTTATTGTTACTTGGGTTTCTTAGATTAATCTTTGCCGCATTAACATTTATATAGTCAATCAATTCACAATCTTTGTACTTAAAATAGAGTACAAAATATATCACAGCCTGTTGCTTTCTTCTTTGTAAAAGAGATTTAATCTTAAAACTATTGAGCATAGTTTTATACAAGATCTTAGGTATAAGGGTGTACAAGTATTTTTTATGACATAAAGGTACCGTAAAAATATGTTTTGTACTTTTTCAATATGATCAATTTGTGTGGCTTCCAAGGGCATCCATATTTGTGAAACATACTCAAGATGGAGTCTTACTAAGGCATTATATAATCTGATTTTGGTGGTAATCCTAAACTTTTTTGTATTTCACAGGTCTTATTTCTAATGTAAAACATTAAGAGGCTATGGATCCTTACAACTTAAAATATGCATACGTTTGTAAGTGTTAAATAGACGGATAAAAAGTGTTGATTTTTATTTACAACTATATATAAGAACCCATTAAAAAGATTAAGAGCAATAGAACATTTCAACAAATTTCTATAGGTACACATATTTTTGATACCTGATAATCAATAAATAATATATTTTTTGGAGTAGCAACAGGTTTATTAATACACAACCATTATTGTGTTACAAATACTTAGAATTAACATAATAGTTGATATAAGTCCTTTAAAAATAATATATTTTGATTTAATTGTTGAATTTATACATGAGCAAAATCATGTACATGTAAATGGGTTGAATGTAGACAATGTTAATGTTTTTGCTACTACTGCTGGCTAGAAATGCTGGGCTGGGACACCAACAGAAAAAAAGGAAGCACAAAGCACTAGATGTTTTTATCACTTATACACGTACAATTTACAACCATTCAAGTAACTAGCATGTTGGAAATACTTCACGAAAACATATTAAACATAAATCAGTCGAAGGCAATCTATTTTCTTTTCATAACACACCTTTTTAGCTTGATTACTTTTAGTACTCTATTTATTCCAATGTCCTCAAATAAAACGAGCAATAATAAGGATAAAACACACATTGAAGTGTATTTGGGGTATTTTTGATCTAAATCCACTATCAAAATAACAAATTTTCCGTTTTTAAGCTGTGAATGTATTACAAAAACTACTTCGATAAAATGTAAACAAAAGTTTATGGTATTTGTGTACGAAATATGGGTTGCCTGCGCATGGTAGCGAGTTTTTAACCGGATTTATGACAAGTGATAGGTTATATCCCGAAAACGTCAGCGCAGTAAAAGCTGCGCGTCTTTTTCCCGCCCAGTGAGTGTCATGGGCCTGTGAGGAAGTTCGTCACAAAAGGGAGGACACCTAGTTTAAGGACTTTTTAAGATTTTACTAAGAAAGGATCTTGATTTTGATTGAGGACCTTTTTTTCTTTTTTTTTTAGAAATGCTCCGGGTTTAAAAAAATCTATTTTAGGTCTCCGTTATATATTTCTCATTTCAAAAGGGTTCCGTAGCCAAAAAAGTTTGAGACCCACTATTGTTGAATCGGTGATACAGCTGTATGCTGTCTTTAACTGTTTCGTGCTTTCATATATTTGTCTTGCATCGTTCCAATTACTGATTTATTTTCCTTGTATACGATATAAGTGTTACCACGTTTCCAGATATACAATAATTATCGTTTTATACGATAATTTTGGTGTTCTATTAGTCCAAGAGCCCACTGCAAATTTTGACCGTCATCTGATAACGAAATGAAATATGTTTCAGAGGCATGTAAAAATATTGTACTTTGCCAAACGGCACCTGTGCCTATCACTGTCCTGAGCAAAATAGTTAAAACAATGGCACTTCCGGTGTCATAATTAGCGAGAAATGTCGTCATTTGATAACGAGATAAGACTTATGCCATCGGATATATAGCTATTGATTAATAGAACTTAAAAATGTACCTGTGCCACCTCTTTTCCTGAGCCAAATGCCTGGCACGGCCTATTTATTCAGCCAAAATTCTCGACAAACTTCCGTCATGTGATAACGAGTTGAAACAATATGCATTCGAAGGGGCATAATGTCCTATTCAGGAATATCCGTATGTGCCACGTTTTAACCTGAGCTAAGTTGCTGGCACAGCGTAATTTCTGAGACGCGCCTCTCCCAACTAATTTATTTCATATGTACAAAAAATCACATAAGCCATGACAATGAAAATTATTTATATTGAAAATTACAATCCTCTAATAATTAATTGTAAACTTATTACTGAAGCCTTGGTTTGTATCATAATTTTAAAGGCTTTTTAACAGATTTAAAATAATAGGAGATACTCATATTGTTAGAATATTTAATTTTTTTGTATGTTCACTGATAAATATATACCACGTTGTCCGATTTCTATGATTATTTTTTTGTTAGAAAAGGGGACACCGGGTTAGTCTTATATAAATTTGGTCAACATTCAGATGTCATCAGTGATAGGATACACGAAAAAATAATTAAGTTCTTCGAATGACAAAGAAAGGTTTTTATAATTAATGTTATCAATATACAGGTTTATTATTTAATATAATATCTTTCCAGGTATTTATTTAGATATATTCTATTACTTTTTAAATTTATAAAAAAGTGTAACTACAAATTGAAAATAGAATTCAATACGACGATGATATAGTTATATTCGGAAGTTTCCCAGAAAACGTATTAAAGGTATAATTACTAAGGATTGTTGAATTATTTATTTTTAAGTACATACATAAAAAAATTAAATTAAATAAATATGTATACACAAACAATTTATCAACACTAAAATACATTATTATTTAAAAAAAAATCCTGTTCGTGACAAAAAAAATTACGTCTAATCCTTTCCAACAATTTTAACATTTACTCATCATCTGATTCTAAAAAAAACATTATTCAAATCATTCAAATAATTTAACTCATTCAACTCGTCGTTATCAACAATATTTTCAATATATTTTAAGACACCAACGACTTTCAATGGCGTTGGGTCTCCCTTGAACCACACTGGTTCCAAATGTTCATTTAGCTCCCAATCGCATTCTTCAACATTTAATTTAGAACAATTTGCATCTGCAGTGTTTTGCCACCTTGAATAGACGTACACTGTACGCAAGACCTTTTGTTCCATAGTTCTCCAACATAGAGGAATAAGACTTGAATCCAACCCTTTAATTGTTTGCAT